TGGCCTGCTGTATTCATCCAGCTCTACACCTTGTTATCTGGATATTATATGTCCCTTCCAAGTGTCCTTTCAACGTGAGGTTGGGGAGGAGGGGTGCATGCAAAGTATCCCACCTCCTTCCCACATATCCCAAGTGCTCTCCCTAATATGCAGGGGTGGGCAGGCACATTATTGACTTACCTGGATCCATGGTACATTTTCTGTCAGTTTGGAACCTGTCTATGGTCTCAAAAGTGGCTACTATGGAGCTCTGGAGCTGCCAGAACTTCTGGAGCTGTATGAATCAGATCAGCTAGAAGCTGCAGAGAATGGGACTTTACTGCAGCGAGGAACTGAAGTCCACTCTGCACTCATTCAGTGTTCCAGCAGTGTTTTATGGCTTCAGGGCAAGCTTGTTCTTGATTTTGCTGGGTGGAGAAGGGGGTCCTATCTACAATCCACAAAATTAATCTTTCTCATATAAACTTCAATTGAAATTTTGCATCTTGTCTAAATTCATTTAAAATTTTCTTAGCTGAAGGACCCCTAACACTGGGTTGAACTTCTGCAATTCTTAAACTGAGAGAGGGGTAGAGAGAGTTTTAGATATAAATTTCCTGAGAAAAAGAAGATTCTAACAGGAAAGTTCTGACCCAAGGTGGTTATTTTTACGGTGCCACTTTTGAATGGAAATTCGCAAATGTAGAATAGTTAACCAGATTTGAGGGGAAATCTTGCCTAAAATAATCTGACGGCCCAAAAAATCCCAATCGTTGTACAAATCTTTGAAGCGGTACTCAGACCAAGTGAATAGTTTTTTAAATTTTTCATTTGAACTTGACTTGATTGGATGTGTAACTCCCATGGATGTAAAAGACAATATGAAGTAAAAAGATTAGTTTAAATGATAAACAACTGGGTATATCATAATTTTATTATGTTTAAATTGACTGAGTATTTAAGATGCTATATATCCATTTGTATTCAAGTTCTCTCATTTTTATTCAGTAACTTTTTTCTTACTTAATTGTGAGCCTTGTAGCTTCAATCTTTAGTAAATACCTAGGTTTTTTGGATTCTAATAAAATAAAACCATTTCTGGTCTCGACTGACATCATATAATTGAATATCTTATCTGAGATTGTTACATAGTCACAAAGAGGATAAACTTCTTTACCACTTTACAACACCATTCTCATGAGTCAGAATTATAACTTAATGATATGGTTGCTGCAGTTTGAAGACCATAACTACCTAATATTTTCATGCGCTGTGCCAGCCCTGTGCTACATAGCAACTGTAATGATCAAAGCAGATGCTGCAGCTTTATGTTTGCCTCTCTGCTGACTTGTGTCTTGCAAAGGCAGTTCTATACTGTCATTTATTGCCAGGTAGCTATTTCAATGCTTATAGACTTGATGACATTGATCACAGTGGCATGTAGCACCACTGAGTATATGTACATTTTGTGTTATTCAGGTTTCAAGTGCAAAACATGTTAAAACGACAAGAAGTCCATTGCATCTTGGACAATTTATGTAGCATAGCTGTGTATGTCCATTGAATATAGCATTGCAAGAGTGGTATAACTGCCAATAAGAATACAAATTATATGATACTTGTTCAGAGTATACAGGTTGTTTACAACTCTGCATGAATACATAATTCTAAGTTTGTATAATGTGCCATTATTCACTAATTGAAGCCAACACACTGCTCTGAGCACACAGGTGAAGATACTTCACTTACTGCTTTGGATCGGATTTCTTTGGCATACAAAGGCTGCAAAAACTCAGATGGTCCTTCTAACCGCAGGCCCTTGTCAGTGATTCTTAGATGTCCCATGCCATCCTGCAATGGGAAAAAATGGCATTAAAATCCAAATAATAAAGCAAATCTAAATTCATGCGAGACGCAATTTTTCTCTGTTGAGAATTAAGGTGAAGAATCTATCTTCCCACTATTCCCTTCTTATAAATTCAGGAGATCATGTTGTTTCTTCGTTATATGCTCTCATTAACAAACAGGAGCATTTTTGACTTCCATCACGCAAAGATCTTTGACCTTAACTCTGCTGTTAAAGTAGTCACTTATTAGTGAGGGGACTAACTGTCAGGTAATTCTTCGATTAGCCATAAATAAAACAGACATTAATAAATAATTTAGTTAGAAGAGGCCTTCCTCCTATAGAATTCTGGAGTCCAGTCCTATTCCACTAATAAGCGGGAAGGAAGAGCATTTAATATGTTACCTACTGGCACCAAGATTTGCTTTACCTTGCTGCCAGGGTGTTTTGTTATCTGCAAACTGCTGGAGGATTCAGCAAGATTAACTGTCTAATAACATCAGGGAAAAATTGAAATATGCATATCCAAATACCATATTTTTGTAAGAATACAAATAAAAAAAGCTAATTGGCACAAACATTATGAGCTAAAGCAGAGTCACTTGCATTGAGACACTTTAATTATCTTTAAGTGGTGAAGTCCATAAAACTCATCACACTCATTTTCTCAAAGAACCTAGTGAAATCTATTACAAACTGAGCAGTTAGACATCTTACTAGGAAATTCCCTGAGGGCAAATTCACTTATGAGAAATTCTGCTGAAGTAAACTGGAGGGAAATTTATATGCAAAATAGACAATTTTTTTGCTCAGTAGTTGTGTTAGGTAGGATATTAGTGGCATACATGGTGGATGATTTCTATTCTCCTTGCTAATATGGTTAATGGCATCTAAGGTTGTGAGGGTCTAAAAGGGTGAATAATGAAGAGTGCCTCAAGCACTATCCAATATGATAATGCCACGTAAGCTTGTAGGGAAACAAGATCTTGAGGGGATAATGCTTACCAGGGCTTGATTGAAGATTTGTAGCTTGGGTGCTGGTTGTAGGTGTGGGTGTGTTTGTCGAGTTGGGAGGTTTGATAGGAGATGTTTCATCCCTTTACTAGGTGACATCCTGAGTGCTGTGGAGCCTGCTTGAAGCGCTGTTGTCTTGTGTCGGTTTGAATTTATATGGTCTGGTTTTTGCTGCTTCACATAGGTGCTGGTTCCGGCTATGCGTTCTAATGGTCAGTATATCGGGTCTAATTCAATGTGTTTGTTGATGGAGTCTGTGGATGAATGCCAAGCCTCCAAGAATTCCCTGGATGTCCTCTGTTTGGCTCGTCCAATGATAGTAGTGTTGTTCCAGTTGAAAGTGTGGTTTTCCTCATCTGTGTGTATTGAAACCAAGGACATCTGATCATGTCGTTTAGTTGCTAGCTAGTGTTTGTGGATACCGGTTGCTAGTTGTCTGCCTGTTTGTCGCACATAGTGTTGTGTGCAGTCTCCGCATGGTATCTTGTAAACCACATTCGTCCTGTTCATGGTATCTATTGGGTTTTTAACTCTGTTCAGGTGCTTTTTTAGTGTGGCTGCCAGTTTGTATGCTGTCATGATCCCTAGCAGTCTGAGTAGTACCTACCGGAAGCAGCAAAAACGGACCATATAAATTCGAAACAGCACAAGACAACAGCGCTTCACAGGAGGCTCCACAGTACTGAGGATGTCATCTAGTAACGGGACGAAACATCTGCTATCAAACCTCCCAGCTCGGCGAACACACCAACATCTATGATAATGCTTACCATCTGGGTCTTCCACATAATCTCTGTAACATGTCTATTATACCAATGTAACACATACATAGTTGTTATTATACAATAAACTACATCTCATTTACAACAAAAGGTTCTTCTCATTAGACTACCAAATCATTCAAACCATGATACAGCAAGCTGGCCCTGTAGATCTCAATTAAGTAAAATGGATGGTGGCAGCTTGTCCTCCAGGTATGGCATACAATGTGATGAGCAAGGGTGAGTATTAATCAAAAAAACATGATAGCAAGTGGTGTGATTCCATTTAGCTGCACCATAAATCCTGGCAGTGATAGAGGTCTGAAGATTTCTTCAGGTTTAACTCATGCTAACAAACAGCAGTGAGAAGTGCTTAACATTTGAGGAGCTCTATAGAAGAGAACCTCATGATAAAATTCTATAAGGCAGGATTTAAATTAATAGTGAGAGGTATTTCAGCCATGGTTAGAGATGCACAGTAGCAAAGGTGAACTACAAAATCCCTTGAACTAGCCACATCAAGATGGTTACAGACTGCATCTTTAGTAGCAGACATTCATCAAGGCTCAGCCTGAGAACAGTGGAAATCAAAGGCTCCATAGTAGAAATTCCCAGTGAGTAAAGGGAAGCTTTCGCAAGGTGCACTATTTACAGCCTAAGAAAGCTAGAGGTGAGTAAAGTGCTCACAGCTGAAATCAAGAGTAATTGCTATAATAGGGCACAGATATAGGAAAAGAAATCAAGAGCCACAGAAACAACATAAATCAAGGTTGCAGACCAGGGAATATCACAAAATTGAAATTAAAATTATAAAGGTCCAATTTAGAAACCTAACCAAAGTTTCAAAGCAAGTTACTGAAATCACATCAAGACAGGAAATCTACTACTTAAGAATGCAGTAAAAGTGAGAAGCATTTAATTAAACTGCATATAGAAAGAATCATTTAGGGGAAATAGTGAAAGCAAAAGGGTTCATTGTATAGAGCCATAGAAACCTATATCCAATCAGTAGAGCTGTTATGGAATTAGGAACCATTTATTACAGTCAAACTTAGTCTGATTAAACAGTACATCATAGAAATCTTGCAATAAAGTCAGGAAAATAAATAATCACATTAAATGTCAGCAGAAATAATTCTGTCATAAAGATTTATTTTCAGCATTGTATCCAATAGTAGACATAGTTGGACATCTTGGAGGAAACAATAATTAAGATATAGAACTGCTTGCAAATTAATTTCTGGCTCAGAAGCTGAATAAATTAATACACTTTCTTATACAATCAAGAAGTATAGCTAGTGACCTTATAATTTGCTGATGTGCAAAATAAGCAACAGATATTTTTGATGAAAATGTGAAAGCCTTTACCAATGCTTTAATCTTGAACTTTAAATTCTTGAAAGAGCAAGATTTTTTGGAAGAGTTCAACATTCAGAGGAATCCATTAATAATTTTATTAATGATCTCTAGAAATTAGTGGAAAATTTTAAAGCAACTGAGCTGATTCTGGAATTGGTGATGTGCCTTTGGCAGATTTATTACAGTACAAGGAAAAAAAGAACTCTACAGAAAGCCATTCAGATATTGAATGAAACAGAATTCCAGAAGCAACATAAAACTAACATAAAAAGTGAAAATTAATCTTATCACAAGAGGTCTGTAGAATCCAGTTATTCCTCAGGTAAATTAACCTCTAAAGACAATTTTGAGGAAACATTACAGTGCGTAGCACAGAGAATAGGTATTACCAGTCATTGTCAGTGCTGTAGAATAAGGAAACCTCACACGCAAGTGCAGTGCACAGCTATTAGGAGAGATCATTTTATGTGTAAAACAATAGGTTACTTTCAGAAAATGTGATGAAGTGGGACACAGTTACAAAGAAGCAAAAAGTCAAATGTCAAAAGCACAAAGAAGTTCATGAGATAGAACAAGCTACAATAAAATAAGTGAAATGTATACCTAGAGGAAGTGGTTGATTGTTATGATCCCAGCTGATGGTACAACCAGACAATTCAGATTGAAACATGGTTCAATAGATCATACATTTAGTTTATTTTGTTTTGTTAACTAACATGGTGATTAGTCACTGAAACATATTTATATGAGGTTGCAGATTTTTTTTAACAACAGAAGTTTATTATACAAAAGTAAAAAAAAGTTAATTATGGGAGTTGGCTAGAATTATTTTAAATCATTCAGCAAAGCAAAATTTTAACTGTTTCCTGACATCATCCATTAAAGATATTCAAGCCCAGAGGAATTACACCTTTGTCTCAACTCCTAAGTTTCTACTTAACTACCTCCTGATAGTTTTTATGCCATGGACATTGGAGAGAATTCAATAATTCATTTCTAAATCTACTGACATGAACGTGTCATAAATCTGTGACCCTAAATCTTCCCAGTTTAACGACCTGCATATTTCTAACCAAGCTCTCCTGTTTGGAAGTTTCATCAACTAAACACTTTTGCTGAGTTGACTGGTACCCTGAATTTCCCTAAACTCCCTCGAGGAGAGCAACTAAACTTGCTTCTGAACGCAACCATGCTTTCTTCTGAACTGACTTAAAAATAAACTTGCTCAATCCTGGATTTTTTTTGAATTGAAAACAAAGACAATAACCTTAAAGTTTTAATCTACCATTCACAAACCAAACAATATAAACATCTTTATCACCACAGATGACAACAGTCACCTATTTGAAAACCACACGTTTTTCTTGAACTACAATAGACCAAGCAAGCCCTTTAGATCTCTATCAGGAAAGAGGATAGTGGTAGCAGATCTATTGGATAGCTCATTTCACATGATGAGCAGTGGCGAGGATTCATGTAAGAACAGATTACAACTTGCATCAATTTTAATTTGCCCATGAGTTTCAGCAGTTCAGTCCTGATGTCTTTAACCCATTAGCATGAAAGATTTGCATGCATAAATACTAGTGTAAAATTGTTAATGTAAAACAGAAACATTTTGGCTTTACATAATTATTTGACCCAGAATATATGTAAACAGAATTAACTCTACTCAACTAACAAAAAAATGGTATAGGCTCTGCTGAGCTCTTTATAGCAACCAATGACCCCAAAGTGGCATATTAAATAGGACTAGGACAGCAATGATTGATCTATTTCAGCCACAATTTATATGGTGGCCACATTTAATTAGATGCTGACACCACATGTGGACTATGCAGCTACAGTAGCTGCTCTGTAAAGGGCATGAA